AAATATGGTGAAAGTGGAATTCTGTTCAGTATTTCACAACTTTCTAAATTCGATGATATCACCACCCATATGTAATGGGTAATCTGTTTTAATGGGTCACGTTTTAATCTCATGGGGTCCAAACCAAGAGATTATCTAGCGGCGATATTTAGTTGTCGTTTTCTTAATTGAATGTAAATGCTATATTATCAATGTGCGTACATTTTAGCGTGGATTCCGACCACCGGCTTTAACTTGTAAACTGTGTCCATCCCTGAGACAAAATTCGCAAACAAAAATCTGTCCAACAACTTCAAACCTTCTAGACGGAACATTTATACAGCGGATTGAAAGTTTCGATTCGCACAAAAATCCTACAACGACGTCAAAGGTTTATCTACTTCCATATACAAGTCTGTGGAGCTCTAGATTCTGTTGTTACAATATACGTTATATACAAGATGGGGGGGGGGGGGTCTAGATCCTGTTGTTACAATATACGTAATGTGGTATATTCCATATTCCTAATTTTCTAATATAACAAACTGTACATCATTGTAATGTTTTTAGATTTCCATCCGCTTACATCGATGTCACGTGACTAACTTATTATTTAGAGAGCTAAATCCTTTAGTTACAAAATACGTATTGAAGTGTAATCCGTATTTTATCATTTCTGACAATAAATAACTAAGTTGGCCATATATTTCTTCTAAATTGCTATCCGCTTACAGCATCACCAGATTATCTAGCTTAAAGCGGAAATTGCAAATTTTATAAGAAAGTCAAAACGTAATTATTTCTATGTCTTTTGCTCAATAGGTTGTCAACTCACAATTATACGATCATAGGTATCATTCTCACACTTAAGATTCATCTACACAGGAAATAATAACACAATTACCTCCCAATTACCTCCCTTGTTTTCTATTCTCCACCATGGAGTAGCGATATTCAAACGTTTGAAAATGAAGAGAAAAATGATATTTTTGCCAATTTCTCAGCTGGCAATAGTGAATTATAGGATTAATAGGATTATTCTTTAACAAGGTAGGACTGTTTATGGATACCATCTATTTTAGGCTTTATTTTAATAAATTTTAAAAATATAACTTAAAAATTTGCAATTTCCGCTTTAAATTGTTTGGGTTTTTAGACGGTTTATTCACAATATAGTTTATTCCTAATTTTTAATATGAAAAATAAAAATCTTAATATCATGGATGTGCATGTAATTTCTATCGAAATGATTGTTTCATTTATTTTAAATTGATGTGCATGTAATGTATCTGGATTTCTATCGACGGGATTGTTTCATTTATTTTAAATGGATGTACATGTAATGAATCTGGATTTCTATCGACGGGATTGTTTCATTTATTTTAAATTGATCTGCATGTAATGTATCTGGATTTCTATCGACGGGATTGTTTCATTTATTTTAAATTGATGTACATGTAATGTATCCGGATTTCTATCGAAGGGATTGATTTATTTGTTTTTAACCGAGGTGCATGTAAAGTTCGCCGATTCATATCCTCCTATATCGTTGTCACGTGATTATATATAACTTACTATTGTAGGTGCTTAATATTTAAATTTATTCTTTATTTTATAAATTACAAAAATAACGTCATCGAAGATCACGGAATACTTCTTGATTTATGTCCACTTATATCGACGTCACGGAATTACTTTCAATCTGATTAAAACACAGATCCTATTTCGTTTCGTTTTTATAGTTCAAAATTTCGTTTTACTTGTCTTTACTACACTAGGATTTGGAAAAGCTGATGATGTGAAGGTGATAAGCCAATGAAACGGTCTGTTACGTCGAGCTTTAGGCGTAAGGTGAAAGTGTTGGTAACCCACTAGAAACGCTGATTGGTTAATTAAATGTCTGACGTCATAGGGTCAAAAGCCGATCGTATGACCTCTGACGCGACCTTCCACTACAACCGGTCAGATCTTTTTTGTAGAATAGGCCATCGAAAGTATAAAAAAAAACGAAACGAAATATCGATCTGTATTTTAATCAGATAGGGTATCAATATGAACGTATTGTAGTTTATTCCTTATTTTATCACATAAATATTAGACATTACATCAGTGGTCTGTTATATTTCAAATTTTCCTTATTTTATTATCTAGGCTACATGCCAAGCTATGATTCAGTAATATAATATGTATATAATTCTGTTATCTATCAAAAAGAATTTTTCTGAGTTATCATATGGTAATTCAAAACATCTTAAATTAATAAAAATCGCCAAAAATCTCTTTTGAACAGAGAAAAATAATCTATTACCTCCTTTCATCCGTGAGCAAAAATATACAAAAATATTTTCAATCTTCTGATCAACATTTTCATTCATTAATTTTGTAGTATTTACATATTCGTCATGATATCTTAATTCATTCATCGTTTATCCTAGTAGTATTTATTTAATAGTCATCAAAGGCCTGCCTCATTTTTCATGACTTTGTTAAATTTACACAGAAACTCATCGGAATTTCTTTCATTCATTCATAAAAACAAATCCGACATAATATCTCGGAAATTAAGATATATCAACTGACATTAATAGATGATAAAATTAAAATCGGAATCCTGACCTCAAATTGATTCATTCTAATTTTGATGATAATAATTCCGAAATACTGGCTTTAAAGGAAATTTTATGATTGATTGACTTTCTCCAACGCTTTCTAGTTCATGAAATTGTATTTTTTTTCTACTTTTCTTATTTTTATTAATTTATTTAATTATGAGAAAAAGTGGCTAAAGTTTAACTGAATAACCTAACCGTTATATCATAAAAATATTCTTGTTGATTTATCTGAAAGGTCAGATCTTGAGTTGACCTATAGGTTGTTCTTATCAAACAAGAACTACAGGAACGGACCTAGATCAAAGCCGAGTTACAAGTTCTGTCTACAAAGGTTATCAAGCCTTTATATGATCGAATATCGATTCAATCAGAATGGTAGCACGGTACGATAAAACGGGGGTGGGGAAGCAGAGAGAGAGAGAGAGAGAGAGAGAGAGAGTCTGTCTCTTTTACAGACGCGTTGGGCGTTTAATCAGTAACACGGTTAGATGAAAAAGGGGGCAGAGCGTGAGAGCAGAGGAGCGCGGAGAGAGAGAGAGAGAGCACCTGTCTCATGTACAGACGCGCTGGACCATTATATGATCGAATATCGATTTAATCAGTAAGACTGTGAGATGAAAAAGGAGGGAGCGTGTGAGAGCAGAGGAGGGTGGGAGTTGAAAGAGAGAGAGGGAGAGAGAGAGAGAGAGAGAGAGAGAGAGAGCTTATCTCATTTACAGACGCGTTGGATCCTCAGGCAACAACATCCCCCGCATGAAAATAAGTGGAAGGCGTATTACTAGAAGACTGAAATGTCCACCACTATCAATATATATATTTGACTCCAGTATAGAGTCGAAGATTATTATTTCCTTCCATTAGACCGCCTAAATAACCATACAGAAAATATTCCAAGAATCCAGTTATCATCAAGTATTCTATTTTCAGAAACTATGGCATGATTAACGCCGACTTTTCCCTTAGAAATTAACTTTATCGACAATTTTATAGCATCTAGAACGATGACTTAATGTCACATCGTGTAGCCTCAAGGTTCGCTAGTCAAATCAGAACCGACTGTACAGTCAAAATTGATTTTTGTTCTGCTATACTTCAAATTCAGATTTTCAGCAAAATTCAATCAAGTTTTCCTTAATCGAATCATTCAAAAACGTGAAAAAGAGTTAGAAAGTAAATTATACGGGAGAAATTGTGATTTTAGAACACGCGTGCCTACAATTACATCCAGCCCAGCTTTCCTTAATGCTAAACTGATTACCTTATTAGGAAAAAAAAACGTGTTAATCAAACTGTTGTTAGGCGATTAATTTACCCAAGAAAGACAGATCCGTATTTAATGGAGTTAAGCGTATCGTTAACAAATTAGCCATTGTTTGGAATTAAGCGTGTCGTTACTAAATTAGCCATTGTTTGAGATCACACGAATGCTGGGTAATGGAATTAATAATAGATTGTTATATTGCACGCAGGCCTACAATTCATTAAATATTAATGATGTTTTATCTAAAAGTGTTCGCTATTCGACCCGATTTTGATTATATTAGATATAAAGCATTGTGTTTTCTTAGTTTTCAAAATTCAAACTTGATTGTAAGTTAATACCTATTCAAAAAATGACAATGGCAATGTCATCAATATGTTTAATATTCCATAAACCATCATATAATTCGCGAGGTCGTTCAAGATTAGAACTAGATTGTAAGTTAATACCTATTCAAAAAATGAAAGTATGTCATCAACGAGTTTAATTTCCCTTAAACCATCATATAATTTCAGAAAAAAGTAAAATTCACTGATAAAGGGAATAATAAATTGTAAATAGGAAAATAATTTTATAAAATAGCTTTCTAATCATCAAAAAAATGTTAGGTGAATTTTAGTGCGCATTAATATAATTTGTTATTAATACTTAAAAATATATTTAATAATATCGCGTTGCATTACAGCAGCTTAGATCAGCCACTAACTAAAAGGCATTTAGATATATCGAGGCAAGGTTAGATAATGACCAGGCCTCGAGTTCACAAAGCATTTTCATATTTAAGTTAAGAATTTACTCAAAATTGTTCGTCTTATTTTAACAAAAATAATAATAGTCCTTTATAAAACATTTTTTTTAATGTACCAAATACATCAATAAGAAACTATGTGCAAATTTTGGTGTTTCCAGATCAAAGATATTTCTCATAAACAGTGATTGAAAGTTGAGTAAATTCTTATAAGTCTGAGAATGCTTTGTGAACTCGGGGCCAGCAGTGTGGAGAAATTGAACCCGTGAACTAAATTGTAACCATATTCCACCAACTAAAAGGCATTTATCTATGTCGAAGCACGTTTATCATCTGTTATGCGAAGACATGACAGGTTGGGATTAAGGTATAACGTGTAAAACAAAGGGCAACAACTCACCTGGGTTAATTGTGTTACCTAGGGATACAAGGTACATCATGTAAACTAAAACACCATCAAGCCAATTCCGCATCTGAAATATACAGAAACAAATATAAGTAAACAATCGATCTCATTCAATAAACAGAAGAAGTTTATCATACAGAAACAGTTTATCGCGTACTACCATGGGGTTGGTTGAATGGCTGAATGGTTAGCACGTGTGCATGGTATCATAAGGTCTATCTTTGAGTCAACTGACGTGGTTTCGATTCCGCGTTTGTACGTGATAAAGAGTAGGGTCGCTCCATCCTCGTGGGTTTTCTCTGGGTCCTTCGGTTTCCTTCCACTGCTAAATGACCCCTACGCGCAATTGAACCATGTTAGTCCCGAAATAACCTAGTTTGTGTCGAGTGGATGTCTCTCTCTCTCTTGTACTACCAAACAATTTAAGAATTTAAGAAACAACCACGACTACATAATAAAAATCACATAATTGTGTTTATTTTGTTTTTGTTATTTCGATTGTAATACTTTGGAGATCTTGAGTTTTGCGTTTCCATTTTTTTATAATTTATATTTTGAGCATTCTGTATTAATGTACAATGTGTATTTTGGTTTAGTTCGTAATGTGTATGTTTTAATGTATAGTATAATTTGTATTTGTATTGTGGTTTAGAGTAGTATCTGGCGTTTCATCTCTCTGAATGGCATGTAGTAATTGGAACATGATGAAATACCATAGTTTATGTCACTGCTACGTTTCAACAAGATTTCACAAATGGTTATCCGGGGGTGGATGGCTGAATGGTTAGCGTTCGCGCGCTGTATTATAAAGTCTGTCATTGGCGTGGTTTCGAATCCCTGGTTGTACGTGAGAAGGAGTAGGGTCACCTGTCCAACCTCGTGGGTTTTCTCCGGGTCCTCCGGTTTCTTCCCACGGCTAAAGACCCGTATGCGCAAGCGAATTATTGAAATAAAATTAAAAACCATATGTTAGTCCCGAAATGACCTAGTGTGTGTCGAGTTGACGTTAAACCCCACTTCTCTCTCTCTCTCTCACACACACAAATGGTTATCAAATAAATTTATTTGTGTTCATATTATGCTTGATAACGACTAGTGAAATGTTGTTGAAACGCTTTCTGAAATCCACAATAGTAATTATTATCAACAAATAGTGTGTTATTTGAGTGTACTTGGTTTAGTGTTTTATATCCGAATTGTATTCCTTTTGTGTATTCTGTTGGTTTTTTTTTTCAGTTCAATGTACAATCTGGTTAAAACACAGATCCTATTTCGTTTCGTTTTTATAGTTCAAAATTTCGTTTTACTTGTCTTTACTACACTAGGATCTGGAAGAGTTGTTATCATTATCGTGTTCTGAATGATGTGAGCTATTAGCCAATGAATCCGTCTGTTACGGCGAGATTTAGGCGTGTTTTGCACGGAACTGTGGGTAATCCACTAGTAACTTCAATGGTGACTGGTTAATCAAATGTCTGACGTCATAGGGTCAAAAGCCGCTCGTATGACCTCTGACGCGACCTATCGCTACAACCGGTCAAATCTTCATGTAGTGTAGGCCATCGAAAGTATAAAAAAACGAAACGAAATATAGATCTGTATTGTAATCAGATTGGTTCAATGTGTATTACGTGTACTGTGTGTAATGTCCATTTTGTGTATTTTGAGTTTATTGTACAGTTTTCATTTTGATTCATGCATATTTTATGTGCCTTGGTTCAGTGTATCCGGCCCCAAGTTCACAAAGCATTCTGAGACTTAAGTTAAAAATTAACTCAAAATTGTTCGCTTTATTTTAACAAAAATATAGCCCCTTTATAAAACTTTTTGTTGTTTTAATGTATCAAATACATCAATAAGAAACCATGTGCAAAGTTTTGTGTTTCTGGATCAAAGATATTTCTCATACACAGTGATTGAAAGTTGAGTAAATTCTCAACTTAAATCTGAGAATGCTTTGTGAACTCCGGACCCGATGTGTTTGTGTCTATAATCTTTGATTTATTGTGTTCTCTGTTGCGCAGGTCACATCTTGAAAGGAAATAAAATAAAATAATATTACACCGCTGAATTAATCACACAGGACTCAAAAGAATTCCTCGTAATAAAACAAAGGCATTACTTCAAATAGTGCCTGTAATTAATTAAGACAAATAGCTAGATTTTACGATCTCGCTTCGCCATGTCATATTGACCGATCGGATACTTTGGAATCACTGACGTTAATGTCTGGTAGGTTTCCATTGTAAAGTTTATGCTTGACATGCGGCAAATCGGACAGACAATATGCATGTTACTTGTTTAGAGAAACAATGATAGAGAGAGAGAGAGAGAGAGAGAGAGAGAGAGAGACATGGGGTTTAACGTCCACTCGACACAAACTAGGTCATTTCGGGACTAACATATGGTTAAGTTTTATTTCAATAATTCGCTTGCGCGTAGGGGTCTTTAGCAGTGGGAGGAAACCGGAGGACCCGGAGAAAACCCACGAGTTTGGACAGTCGAACCTACTCCTTGTCACGTACAACCGGGGATTCGAAACCACGCCAGTTGACTCAATGACAGACTTTATGATACAGCCAGCACACGCTAACCATTCAGCCATCCAACCCCCCGAGAAACAATGAATAGCTCAATAGCACACACAAAGAAAACTCCAAACCAATCGCACCGCTGGCAGGGGACATCTTGTGCCGAAAAGTAGATTGTTTATATAACTTCCACTTCGTTTCCTTAGTCAACTATTTATGGATGCAATTTAATTGTATTGTAATGGAACTAGATATTCCAGGCTAAACCAAACCAATGAAAGGTAGACAATCGACAAATTTGTTCGTCAAAATCCAGGAAAGTTTGGCCATCGAAATGATTTCAAGGCGGTAATGGCCTGATTTCTACCTATTTCCCTTAAAAACAAATGTTCGAAAATGCGGGTAATCCGAGGCGGTAATGTTCTGGTTTCCACAACACTCTCTTTCCGACCAATTGCAAGACTGTTTACAGCCCGCAGATAAAACTCTCTTTCCGACCAATTGCAAGACAGTTTACAGGTTCCGGATAAAACTCTCTTTCCGACCAATTGCAAGACAGTTAACAGGCCCCGGACATAACTCTCCTTCCGACCAATTGCAAGACAGTTTACAGAACACGGATAAAACTCACTTTCCGACCAATGTCAAGATAGTTCTACTATAAAGTCTAATCATCTGCCGTGTGGTGTTATTTAAGGTCACGACCAAAGGTCTCTTTACAACCAATGTCAAGGTGATTTTATCAGAACTGACGGGTATCCAAGGAACTGCAAGGTGGTAATAGTCTGGTTTCAACAGATTTCCTCAGATAAAATGGCCATGTTTTACTGAACATGGATACAGAATCGTCACTTGGCGATAAATTCCAAGGAGATTTTATGCTTTCCTAGCATAAAAAAAACTTTGGTGTATAACTGGTCATAGATTACACCAATTCCTTTCCGACAAATTGTCAAAGCGGTTATACCAAAACAATCTGCCATTCTACTTCAAGGTGCTAATATTCTGGTTTCACAAACAACCCTAAATAAATTGAGCGTGGTTTAATACAGCTGCCTTTCTATCTCATAATATCAGTAATAATCCATTGAATAATATATATTGTCCCAGAGGCCTGAAGCACAGTTCAAACGTATATCATTAAGACCTAAGCGTATTATATTCTGGTCTCCGGGTAAAAAGCGCATTCCTGACAAGGGTTAAGATAATAGGTGTAAAGATATATATTAAAGACGACAGACTGGCTCTAAGCTATTCTAGACACTCGTTACCATACGGGAACAAATATTAATATTGAAGTAATTGCTAGCTTCTACATCACTAAAGTCAGTCTTAACATCGCTGCGAGCTTAATACCTCCATTATTAACAAGTTTCGTACTGCTGTGCTCTGCTGAATGTGGTCATAACTCATCGCAATGAGTCGAGAAAGATCAAATTCAAGCTAGTTTAAAAGCCATTATCTGGTCCACCAAGACGATGCAAGCACATAACGTGGATATTAAGGACATTTTCATCTAACGTTTAGACTGTTAAAACTGGTCATGTATTATCTGACTGTCTCCGCGAATGTCACACAAATTATTTCATAGGGAAATAAAAATGAAATAATATGGAGTTCAATGTTTTACTCTATTGTCGATATAAGAGTAGGCGATAGTGCCGCTGCCCGGGCAAAATTTCCCTCATAGCACACTGTATGGCGTATGCCCGTCTTCATTAGCCCAGTTTAGGAGCAGAGCAGTAGGACGTTAAACCCCATTTCATTTCATTTCATTTACTCTATTGAACAATATTTTGATATTTGAAGCAGTCCATAGTTTTATAAAAAGTCACCCGATTAGATTTTATTACATACTTCGAGAAGGTATTTGTTGAGTAATAAAACCTTCTAGTAGTTTATCGAGGTTCGGGTGCTTCCGGAGTCCAAAATGGCCGCTTTATATAAATGAGAATTTTGGGGATAACTAATCCGAACCCTAACCCTAACCCTTTTTAAAAGACTGAACTTGGGTCTAATTTAGTTTTTACTTCTCTTAAAAGGGTTAGGGTTCGGGTTAGTATTCCCCTAAATACCCATTTGTATAAAGCGGCCATTTTGGTATGAGTTCTGGCTTGTTCTGGAATTTGTTGCTTCTAGTGGTGATAATATTTGTACCGTGCGGTAAGGACGGCCAGCCCTCGATAAACTGCTAGGTTTTATTACTCAACAAATTCCTTCTCGAAGTATGTAATAAAATCTAATCGGGTGAAAAAGTACCAGAATGTTTTGATTATCTTTTACATATAGTTGTATATATCAAATAACTGCATGGCCTGTATCTCGTGTGTGTGCGTGTGGGCGGAGGGGATAGGGGCAAATAGTTAGTACGTACGCGCTGTATCATAAGATCTGTCTTTGAGTCAACTGGCGTGGTTTCGATTACATGGTTGTACGTGACAAGGAGTAGGGCCGCCTGTGCAACCCCGTGGGTTTTCTCTGGTACCTTCAGTTTCCCCCCCACTGCTAAAGACCCCTACGCGCAAGCGAATTATTG